AATGAGAGGAATCAGCAGAAAGCAGCCCACAGCCCTCGCAAGGTAATGTGGGCGGTGCATTCCTGCATTCCATGATACCCCGCTCACACCTCCCCACTGCCTCAGGAACAGGAGACGGTCACAGGCAGAGAGAGACCCCAGCAGTACTCACGACCCCCGCGTCTTAAACACCACAGCAGAGCGACTTGGAGGAGAGCCGCACACGTCTGGTCTGCAGACAGCCACGTTGAGGAAAGGAACGCCCCTTCTGCCCGTCCGAACTAGGCCAGGTACTAGAGCTCCCCACAGGAAGTGACAGCGGCCGAACAGGGTGCCTGCCCTCAATGAAAATGGCGGCCGCGAACCCTCTGAAGGCTGAAACTCAGGCCGGGGGCTCGGTTTTTGGCCACGGTCAAATTTTACCTCAGACATCCCCAGACAACCGCACACAGCCCCCGCATGTAGATAACCGTGGTCGCGGTGCCGCCAGCCTGTTTGGGCCGCTGTAACTGCCGGGCCAAGACCTCCAGTCATATGCACCCCACTGGGTCAAAAAAGGGGAGTCTCCAAGGATCTATAATCATCCAGCATGTCGCCCTGGCGACACTTGCTTGAAGAAACAGCGAAGAAAAGGAGGAAAATAAAAAATTTCCAGAGATAATTTTTTTAGCTCCTTACTCCTAACACTAGGCAAAAAACTGGAGACTTGTCAGCAGGTGGGGGGTTGGGCCACCAGCAGGGGCCACCCCTAGGCTTTCTTTGTCTTTTGTTGTGTGCCTAGCGTCCTTTTCCTGCAGGTGGCGATATACATACAGAACAGGATCTATCTGTTGCCCTGTGTCCTTCAATGAACGGAAGAGAAAAATGACGCACGCCGACAAACTCCCACCGCATAATGTAGCATCTGACAGATGGCGGCAAAAGAAAAACAATTGGGCAGAGCTAGCGGTGACGACATTGCTAGCTCCGCCAACTGTTTCCTATTGGTCCGCACCTGCCAGAGTCTTCTAGCAGGTCCCGGACAATAAATAAAAACTGCGGGGAGCCGGCCGTGTTGTCACGACCGGCTCCGCCCAGTTGTTACTGTTTTATGACAGATCAGCATCACCAGGTCATTTGGGAAACTGATCTGTCATTACAACTGGGCTAAGCAAGCCGTGAGATCACGGCTGGCTCTGCCCAGCTGTCATTTGCGTGGAGATCAGCTGGCTTCGGCCGACCTTTCTTCACGCTTCGCCTGTCACTATGGGCTCAGGTGGCCGAAGTGAGCAGAAGGATCGGATGAAGCTACGGCTGGATCCTTCGGCTCATTAGTAAATAACCCCCATAGTGTTTGTAGTCTACACTGACATACTGTACATTGTTTTTTAGGACAGATACAGATAAATAGCAGATTTTGGATGCATAGATTTATATTCCAAAGGTTTAAGAAACAAAATTGGAAAAAATGCATTCTCCTGTAATTTGTCTCAATGCAACGTTTACATAATTTACATAGTCCCAGATATTCACCCTAAAATATAACCAACAAAGTCTTCTAATTAAGAGAATATCACAGTTTAATTTTTATGTAAAACAGAATGATTAAGCTCAAAGTGAGCATGTGTATTTTACTTCAAGTGTATGTACAATCAAAACAATTATTTCTTGTTTTAGATAGAATAGTCCAGGATTAGAACCCTGCTGTCAATGTTTTACCTTCAAAAGATACACACAACACACACAGAAATAAAGATTTTCTTTAGTAGAACCCCTGTCAGATTGGGATTTCTATCTATCTATCTATAATGAAATTTTCCTTCACTACCTGTCTGGGGAAACCAATTGTCAGCAGTACACTAAGTGAGGGTAAATGCCAGTGTCTTCAGTGCTTAATACACCTGGGGTTTTGAAATAATAAAAAGTCCTCCTAGAAGCCTGACTGCCTTACTCCTCCTTCTCCCCTCACCACCCCAATGCAGCACCCCTCCTTTTTCTTGGCCTCCTGCCTCTTTGTCCAAGGGATGCAAGCAGTGGGCAGAGGTTCCTACTGGCCCTTGGTTATCAGCAAGTCCTTCTCTTCCTTTTGCTGCTGTGCTTTCCTTGGATGTCTAATAGGCCACATAGTCAGAGGCGGCTCTAGAGTTTGTGAGGCCTTAGGCGAAACATAAACATGAGGCCCCACTCAGGCCTGTGGGGTCTCACCAGGGCCCTGTGGGGTACTACCAGGCTCTGTGGGGTTTAACCAGGCAGGTGAGACCCCACAGAGCCCTGGTGAGACCCCCAAAGAGTCCTGATGAGACCCCACAGAGCCCTGAGTAAACGAGGGCTCTGTAGGGTTTTACCAGGGCTATGTGGGGTCTCACCAGCCTGGTTAAACCCCTCAGAGCCCTGGTGAGACCCCACAGAGCCCTGATTAAACTATGGCTCTGTGGGGTCTCACCATGGCTCCGTGGGGTCTCACCAGGGCTCTGTGGGGTCTAACCAGCTTGGTTAGAACCCTGCTGTCAATGTTTTACCTTCAAGAGATACACACACAGAAATAAAGATTTTCTTTAGTAGAACCCTAGAGAGATCCCAAAGTGCCCTGGGGAAATCCCAAAGAGCCCTGGTTAAACCAGGGCTCTATAGGGTCTCACCAGGGCTGTGTAGGATTCCAACAGGTCTTGTGGGGTTTAACCAGGGCTGGTGAGACCCCCACAGAACCCTGGTGAGACCCCAAAGTGCCCTAGTGAGACCCCACAGAGGCCTTGTTAATCCAGTGCTCTGTAGGGTCTCACCAGCACCAGGGCTCTGTAGGGTCTCACCAGCACCAGGGCTCTGTAGGGTCTCACCAGCATGGTTAGACCCCTCACAGCCCTGGTGAGACCCCACAGAGCCTTGGTTAAACCAGGGCTCTTTAGAGTTTCACCAGGGCTCTGAGGGGGTCTCCCCAGGGCTTTGTGGGGGTCTAGCCAGCCTTGTTAGACCCCACAGAGCCCTGGTGAGACCCCAGAGTGCTCTGGTTAAACCAGGGCTCTCCACAGGGCTCTCACCTGCTTTCCACAGGGCTCCACTGTCCTGAAATAATTTGTATTGTTTTAGAAAAACTATCACAACAAAAATGTATCAGTACTTGTATATATGTGAGTACTTAGACAAGTACTTTTTCAGGTACGCACGGATCCCAAGAGCCCCGTATGATCCTTAAAAATGGCAGCTGCCTCCTAACTTTTGTGTTTTTCTCTAGTCTAGTCCTGGTATCTGAACATCCCTGGTGTGTGCTTTAGGAGGAACACAAGGGGGAAAGTGTCAATTATCTTGACACTTTGCAGTTCACCATTTTAGTTGCCTCTTCAAAAAGGAAAGGATGATGAGCCACTGCCATACAGTAATCACAGAGGTACTAATAGATATAACATGCTGCACCACAAGGTTTAGGACATGTGCAAGACAAGGTATGTGTGCTGTCCCATTGTCACACATGACCTTGCTTGGCTGAAGCTTGTGTGGGGTCAGCCACCACTCTGGGCATGAAGAGAAGACAGTAACTCTAGTCCAGTGTGGTTCCTGTCCCACTGGTATACAAGCTGCAGCACATCGTAGCAGCATTTAGCCTGAGACTTTGTGTATATTCTGGGGCACTTGGGGTAAGTTTGGCCCTAATGAGGATTCAAACAATGAGGTGACTGTGCTGCCACCATCTCCCAACACACATGGTGGCACCTCTAGCTCCAGTGGTGTTCCTTATCTCAACCTCCAGATTTACCCAGTAGTGGTAAATGAAATATAGTGCCCCTGCCCATGTTTACTCAACCATGTGTGGCCATGTGCACCGTGCTGCTGACAGATTTTCTAGTGACACAGAAGGGCTGTAAGGGCTAGTTCACACCAAGCGCGGAGCAGATGCAGAGCAGAGCAGTTACAGAATGGATCAAAACTGCGTCCAATGTATTCCAATGGTATTTTGGGCTCTAGTTCACACCAGAGCGTTCCGTTCCAGAGCATGTGGAAAAACTGCAGCATGCCCTATTTTTTCTGCTCTGGAATGCACCAAGACGCATGCAAACACATAAAAAAAATGCATACAAATGCCCTGGAACACACTGAAAGCCAATTTTAGGCAAACATTTTTTTTATTTTTTAACCGGCCCGGAATGCGGCAAAAATGAGGCAAAACACACTGCAGTGCATGTGCAGAAACTCATGCAGATCTGGTCTGCAAGCCCTAAAAGTGCAAAGCATGGATGGCTCATTGGAAAAAATAATGCCAGCTGGGTACCTGTGGGGTAGCGCAGGCCAGCAACTGGGAAGTGAAAACCTACAATAAGAGGGTTGTTGGGGTGGGTGTAGGTGAGCGCTGCTAAAGGTTCCAGGCTTTGTGTTACCCTCCTTAGTCTAACCCAGATGTGGATAAGGGTAAGCCCCTGAGCTCCTTCGATAGATTTTTTCACTGTTCCTAGATGCAGTTGATGCAGTAGCAAGTGCACTAGGGGAATGCTAGGGAGGGGAAGGTGCAGCAACCTAGGAATAAGGAGGAGGAATGCAGGCCTCTTGCTGTTTTGGTTAGGTGCTGTTCCCACCAATCTCTGGTGCAATGTCATGTCCTTTTCCATGAACATACTACCCAAGTAACTGGTTCTCTTTCTTCAGCATATGGGCTGCAGGCAGAGGCTTCAAACCACAGAAGTCAGCAGTGGATACATGGCCACATCGTCCACACTGCAGAGCTCTCTGGATTGACCCGGGGAATACCAGAAGCAGTGCAGCCAGATGTATTAGAACAGATGCTACCTGCTCCCTGCCCCTCGACAACATTTTCGCTCGCTGCTCTGCCAACACTCCTTTGAAATTTCCCTCCGATGGTTTTCCACCTTATCATCCACCCCTTCTTTGTCTTACATATGTGTTCCAAATGACCATTTGCTCATTGGCCATGATAGTTTCTTAATTCTAAAAAAATAACAACTAATTGGCTGATACGAATTATAGTTTGTCATTGTTTTTACAGTTATTAACATAAACATGACCAATTTAATTTTTGCTCTCTTTTTGCTTTGCAGGCTTAATCTACAAGCCTCATGACTATAATGAAATGGATGTCTGCATGGCTCCTAAATTCCTTACTCCTCTTGTAAACCGCAGTGTAGTGGCTGGGTACAGCACAGCATTGAATTGTGCTGTAAGAGCTCATCCAAAGGTACACAGTTGTCTCTACTGAAACAGATCATGCCTGCTGTACAGAACATTTAAAAAATATTCAGTGCTCTGCTATAGAAAAACCTATAATTACCTATAATCTTTTCTGTCTCCGTTTTCTTTGGTGCAAGGAACTTCTGTCTGTAAAGCAAAATACACTATATTGCCAAAAGTATTGGGACGCCTGCCTTTACAAGCACATGAACTTTAATGGCATCCCAGTCTTAGTCCGTAGGGTTCAATATTGAGTTAGCCCACCTTTTGCAGCTATAACAGCTTCACCTCTTCTGGGAAGGCTGTCCACAAGGTTTAGGAGTGTACCTATGGGAATGTTTGACCATTCTTCCAGAAGCGCATTTGTGAGGTCAGGCACTGATGTTGGATGAGAAGGCTTGGCTCGCAGTCTCCGCTCTAATTCATCCCAAAGTTGTTCCATTGGGTTGAGATCAGGGCTCTGTGCAGGCCAGTCAAGTTCCTCCACCCCAAACTTGCTCATCCATGTCTTTATGGATCTTACTTTGTGCACTGGTGCGCAGTCATGTTTGAACAGGAAAGGGCTATACCCAAACTGTTCCCACAAAGTTGGGAGCATGAAATTGTCCAAAATGTCTTGGTATGCTGATGCCTTAAGAGTTCCCTTCACTGGAACTAAGGGGCCAAGCCCAACCCCTGAAAAACAACCCCACACCATAATCCCTCCTCCACCAAACTTTACACTTAGCACAATGCAGTGAGGCAAGTCGATTGGATTACCAGACAGAGAAGCGTGATTCATCACTCCAGAGAACATGTCTCTACTTCTCTAGAGTCCAGTAGCGGTGTGCTATACACCACTGCATCCGAAACTTTGCATTGTACTTGGTGATGTAAGGCTTGGATGCAGCTGCTCAGCCATGGAAACCCATTCCATGAAGCTCTCTACGGACTGTTGTTGTGCCAATCTGAAGGCCACATGAAGTTTGGAGGTCTGAAGCTATTGACTCTGCAGACAGTTGGCGACTTATGTGCACTATGCGCTTCAGCATGCGCTGACCCCGCTCTGTTATTTTACGTGGCCTACCACTTTGTGGCTGAGTTGCTGTTGTTCCCAGTTGCTTCCACTTTGTTATAATACCACTAACAGTTGAGCGTGGAATATTTAGTAGCAAGGAGATTTCAGGGAACACATGAATCCAATAATTTGGAGGGGTGTCCCAATACTTTTGGCAATAAAGTGTATATCATAAATAAAATAATTTGGTGAACAAATTTACATAACTTATTTAATTCCTTTCTTTATATTATAATTATATTTCTTTTGCATTTGAATTTTGCTAGAAGGCAGCATGTGAGGTAGTGTTAAAATTCTTCAGTGAATTATTATTACTATACTACAATTAAATGAAAAAGTGACACAGCGCTGCAGGAAAGAGACGTCTCTTTCCTGCAGCGCTGCACCTTTTCTCAGCTATCCTGCTAGTAGCGGCTTTTCCCATGCTCGGTTCAACGGTCCCCCTCTCAGAATCCCAGAAGTGTTTTTAAGTAATTAGGAAAAAGGGAAACAATGCTCATGGTGCAGTACGACAAGCAATGACATTTATTCAAAATAGCAACTTACTCCGGAAGCTGTGGGAGCCTTGGATTGAGTCATACCTCCCCCCCCTCCTTCGATATGGAGTCCTTGATCCTATAAGTGCTCACTATCGGAAGCTTTAAACATATAATTTGTCTTCCACAGTGGTGTAACAACCGGGGGGCGGGCGGGCGGTGCGCCTGCTATTGTTACGCCACTGGCTGAATGCCCATCGTGGTAGACGGGAGACGGGAACCGGGACAGAGCGGCAGGGGGTGGAGACAGGAGATGTGGCGGACGCACTAGCTCAATGCCCTTCATGGTAGTTGGCAGATGTCAGATAACTAGCGCAACTTGATCTATAAATACTCCACTAATTGGAGGAAATGTGTGCTCAATTAAAAAATTACCAATTAATAAAAATCTCAGCAATAGAAATAGTAATGATTTAAAAACAAAGGATGTATAACTCTAAAAAAAACTTCTAAAACGATCCAATACAAATCTCATCAATACATTACATTTAAAAATATATTTTGAAACAAAGAAAATAAAAATAGGAAACAGCAATCAAATAAATAAATGTATTGTCAAATCATTGTTTCCCATTTAACCCACCTTCTCTTTACTATTTCAAGGAATTATGTATTCAATTAATAAATAAATGACTCCAAAAAAACTCCGTAGAGGCCAATCAGTATAATAACTATATATACACTAATATTTTACAGTCATAGAACAATATTAATACCTATGAAAAACCTTCATAGGAGACCAATTAATACGAAAAATCTCGACAATAAGTAGCAAAAATTATTTAAAAACAGAGGGCTATAGGAGATAGTAGTTAAATTAGTGGAAATATATAAGAAATATTAATAATTGTTTAAAAAGCAATTAAGATCAAAATCAATATTTAATCACTTGGGAGTCAAAACTTTAGGTTTATGTGGAAGTAAAGGGCCATGCAACTATATAACAAGCGATATCAATGAAATAACGGCCGAAATGAAGAAAATAAGCTTTGTGAATTGACCCCAAAGTGTCTTATCTCTTTTTAGGACATCCCAATGCTTCCCAATAATATGCTCTACTTCTCTGTGCTGGGCCCTGCCAGCACAGTCATCCTCCTACCTGGCACTGGAAAAAAGGCCTCCTCCGCTGCCCCGGCACCCAACGTTGCTTCTGAAGCTATTATCGCTTGGCCTATTTCTTTCATTGTTAATTTTTGATGTTAGCACACTTTTTAGTTTTTTTCACTACAAACTTTAAATCTGAACACAACTTAGACAAACACAAGCATTTAACCCTTGCAGTGCAGGGGGAGCCCCACTGCAAGGGTAGTTTTGAACTGTCACTGGAGTTTAGCTTTAAATAGAGTTATTGGCATCAAAGCCAGTTCCACAGCTGCACACTCATTAACCCACATAAGCATGCACATGTGCAGATATGCTTCAGCCATGGCCCAAAATGTTGGACCATGAGCTGTAACATGCACACACACAGATTTATGAGGATGTCCATGCATTCCTGACAACCTCACTGTAATGATTACAAATTGTGTTTCTTGTATGGTTTTGGGGTTTCAAACCATTTTGGGGATGTTGCATTCTGCATAGGCTGTAAAAAATCTGACAGATAGGGTGGGAACTCATAATAACGATGGTAGAGGTGGAGGCCTGAAAATTCAAGATCACAGTCCCTGGAAACACAGGTGAAACTCGAATAATTCGAATATCATGCAAAAGTTCATTTATTTCACTAATGCAACTTAAAAGGTGAAACTAATATATGAGATAGACTCATTACATGCAAAGCAAGATAGTTCAAGCCGTGATTTGTCATAATTGTGATGATTATGGCTTACAGCTCATTAAAAACCCCAAATCCACAATCTCAGAAAATTAGAATATTGTGAAAAGGTGCAATATTCTAGGCTCAAAGTTACATAGTTACATAGTATTTGAGGTTGAATAAAGACATTAGTCCATCAAGTCCAACCTATTAGGATCTCATTCTAGGAGTACCTGTACCCCTGTATATTACCTGTACCCCTGTATATTACGGTCCCTTAAGAAATCGTCCAAAAGTTTCTTGAACAATTCCACATTATTTGCTGAAATCACCGCCTGTGGCAGTGAGTTCCAGACCCTAACTGATCTTACTGTGAAGAACCCCCTTCGCCCCTTGTGCTGGAATTTTTTTTCCACCAATTTTAGGTGGTGGCCTCTAGTTTTTGTAATGGAGTTAATTTTAAACAGTTTATCGCTAATGTTGCTACCACCATTGAACATTTTGTACCCACTCTAAAGTGTCCCACTCTAATCATAGTCCAGTGTGAAGTTTCCACAGTCTGTGTTGATTTGTGGAGTCATGTCATCTGCTGCTGTTGGTCCACTGTGCTTCATTAAGACCAGGGTAAACACAGCCGTCTACCAGGAGATTTTGGAGCACTTCATGCTTCCTTCCGCAGACAAGCTCTATGGGGATGCTGACTTAATTTTCCAGCAGGACTTGGCACCTGCCCACACTGCCAAAAGCACCAAAACCTGGTTCAATGACCGTGGGATTACTGTGCTTGATTGGCCAGCAAACTCGCCTGACCTGAACCCCATAGAGAATCTATGGGGCATTGCCAAGAGAAAGATGAGAGACATGAGACCGAACAATGCAGAAGAGCTGAAGGCCGCTATTGAAGCATCCTGGTCTTCCATAACACCTCAGCAGTGCCACAGGCTGATAGCTTCCATGCCACGCCGCATTGAGGCAGTAATTGCTGCAAAAGGGGCCCAAACCAAGTACTGAGTACATATGCATGCTTATACTTTTCAGAGGTCCGATATTGTTCTATGTACAATCCTTGTTTTATTGATTGCATGTAATATTCTACTTTTTTGAGGTTGTGGATTTGGGGTTCTTGGGGTTTTCATGAGCTGTAAGCCATAATCATCACAATTATGACAAATCACGGCTTGAATTATCTTGCTTTGCATGTAATGAGTCTATCTCATATATTAGTTTCACCTTTTAAGTTGCATTAGTGAAATAAATGAACTTTTGCACGATATTCTAATTATTCGAGTATCACCTGTAGGAAACTGGCACTGCTAAGTGGTTTTATTTTTCTGAATCTACCATAAACTGAATAATAGTTTTGGGTGGAGTAAACTATTAAAATACAAAAAGATTAAAGGTTCCCATAGATGTTAATTGGCCTTCTCCCAAATAGTAATTCTTAATGTGTTTCTTCTTTAATGCAGCCTAAGGTTATCTGGATGAAAAATAAAATGGAGATTAGAGATGACCCAAAATTCCTCATGAAACATAATCAAGGGGTTCTTACATTGAATATCCGCAAACCCAGCCCATTTGATGGTGGAACCTACACCTGCAGAGCCATCAACGAGCTAGGTGAAGCTGAAGTAGACTGTAGATTGGAAGTCAGAGGTAAAATGGGGGTATAGCTCAAATGGGGATCACCTTCCCTGGGAAAAAGGTAGTCCAGGCAGCAAAGTTCTTTTCAATCTGAATTGCAGTCAGTTTTATGTAAAAGGTTGCAATATTAAAACAAAATAAAACAGAAAATAAATCCTTGCCTTCCCGGCTCTAACTAAACATACAGGTTTTCTCTCTAACAGGTGGTGAGCGTCTCTCAGCCACCTCACAAAACCAAAGTATTTCCGGCAAACTTTTACTCACAAACGTATCTAAATTGCTGCTCTCTCAGCAGGCTGTCTGAGGCCTAATTCACACCATCCTCAGTGCGTTCCGGCCAGATTGTGGCTCGCATTGCATCCGGCTCAGTTTGTTGTGGGGCAGAAGGGGGCATGGTGGTCCATTGAAGTGAATGGTACTGCAGCCACGTCCTCCGGCCGCAATGCGATCAGACACACGGGAATGCAAGGTCACATCAATGCCTGCGATCCGGTCCAAAAAAATGCTGCAAGCTGCGGTGCCATTCACTTTAATGCACCACCACACCTTCTCCTGCCCCACAACAAACTGAGCCGGCCACAATGCGATCTTGTGCGTTCCAGCTGGAACGCACTGTGTCTGGTGTGAACTAGGCCTAAGTCCCAGGCCAGAGTCCCATCATGCTCCAGGCTTCTCCTTTTATCTCAACTGGAGAATCAATCCTCAATCAATTAAACAATCCAGGTGAGAGACAAAAAATTTTAACTTCATTACCCAGACCCAAAGTCTATCCGAAAACCTGGTCTGGATTCAGCTAGTCTTGCACATATGAATGAAATTGAGGCGAAATATATCGCCCCTCGATGATTTCTCCTTTTTTTCACAATAGGACTGCCTTGACAGTCCTAGGACGTTAGTGAGAAAGGTGTATGTCACTTTATCTAATATTCTTAAAATGTATGTCAGGACAAGCAAAGAAAAAAAAACAAAACACAAGCAATCCATCTCTGTAATACATTCACATGTTCATGTCTTATCCATTTAAAAAGCCTGTAAGTACAGAAAAAACATGCTGAGCTGCCAGAAATGCATTTAGCTGTTTGTCCAGTTGTACACTGACAACACACAGCATTTTTGTGGACTGAGTATTGTCAGCCCTGCCTAGTTTCTCCTGCCAAACTACTCCAACCCACCTACTTTCACATCACCACAACATAAAGTCTAATAGTTTTGTAGTTACAATGTAAGGATTAAAAAAGCAAATTACTCTTTGTAATAACAAAGGAAGTGAGCACTGGACACAGGAGAGCTCTGAATTTCTGGCAAGATCATCAGCTTTTTTTTTTTTTTTTTTTTTTT